CACAAACAACTTCCACCTATTTAAGTTAAGTGCCTTAAGTAAAGTATTCAAGTACTAGAGAGTTTACACATAAGGGCGTAGACTGACCCCAACTCACTCACCAGTTTGAAAAGGAAGAGCTAGAGGAGCAGCTAGAGAACAACAATGTCGTGGAAGCAGTTCGAGGGAAGCCAACCATATGAGGACTATACGAGCGTTACAAAGGATGTCTAATTGATAACGATGTATTTGCACATGCTTACACCCTTATTTTTTATCCGTTTGCGGCTCCTAGTCGTGTATCTTTGGCCTATTTTACACTGGGTTGTACTATTTTGTCACATTTCAGGTCCCAAGCGTCGAAGGAAAGGGTAGGCACGAGTTTCGGGTCGTTTGGAGGTCGTTCGGTGAGGCTGGACCAAAAACACGGGCATCCCTGTCTAAAACCACGACTGTGTTACTCAGGCCGTGATTTTACTGCCGAGGGCGTGTCGTGATGGTTGCTGAGGAGTCCAAAACACGGGCGCCATGGGACTAAAACACGGCCGTGTCACTTCATGGGCACGACCGTGTTTTGGGAGCGACGCGGGCGTGTTTGCCACAAGGGAAGCAAAAAACAGGCGAGATGAGACAAAACACGGCCGTGTCCTCGACCCTGTTTTGCCCAATCTCATATCAAAAGAAAATTTCAGCCAAAGAGAGAGAGAAAATCCGATTTTGGGAGCTAGAGAGCAGAAAACCTAGAGAGAGAAAGTGACGAACATAACTTCCAAGTGCCTTAAATCAATATTCAACACCATTGGAGCTCGGTGGAAGCTTGGAGGAGTGCCGATTGATTACCAGAAGCAGATCCTCATCCTTCACAAAATGATTTCCGCATCTGAAGCAGATTTTTCTTCACTCTATATGGAGTAAACTCCCTCTCTCACCTGGGTATGAAGAACTCTAGATTTGTATGTTAGAGCTGGTTGTATGAACCCAAGTACGAATTCTTTGATACTGATTATATTCAATTGAGGCATGGTTTTCTGAATGGCATGAATCCTGATCAAATTCCTGTTATTCATGCTTTGACCTAGAATGAGAATATCTGCCTAGGTTGATAGAGCACCCTTGATTTTTTTTCCAAGGCAAGCCCAGAGGGCATGGGACAAAGACTCGACTCAGGTACAAGTAGATTCCAAAAAAGGATGGTAATCAGTAAGCAAGCGGATTCCCGATGAAAGAGACTGATTAGCCACTACATGTGCAGCTCTGTTAAAGCTCCGAGGAGCAAAAAGACACGACATTGACTAAAAAAACGAGAAAAAGGAGTGAACCTCCTCCAAGACAACCCCTGCTCGAGAGTGAGAAGCGTTCTTTGCCATAGCGTGCTTGATAACCAGTTGAGCATCTCCACAAAATGCAACCACCAAAAAATTATGTGTTAAGCACCATCTCATAGCGTCTCTAACAGCTAGAAGCTCGGAAATGTAAGCCTCCGAAATTCCATCATAATATTTTCCAAAAGCAAGGATAACGTACCGTCTCTCAAGAATCCCGCAAATCCGATTGAGCCTCCTTGTGAGATTTGACGGAGCCATTAAGAGCACCCTTGATTGAAGGTAGTGAATTGACAACTCTAGTCGAGGAGTCAATTCATTATTATGTACTGGATTATTCCAGTAGAGGAGGTTTGGTACGTTAGGGCCTCAGGCTGTTTACTCCGGTGGAGGTTAGTCGCCCGCTGGAGACTCAGATTGAGAGGGCCTGGAGACCTTTAGTCGAGACTACAGACTATCTAAGAACTTCCCGCAGTATAATTATCATTGAATCTGAACTTGGCAAATTACAACTTGGTTTAACTACGGTCTAGGGGGAACCATATCTGGGTGTCCTCTCTCAAACTTGGAACACAACATTTACTGCTTTTGCTTGCTAGTTTAGTTGGAACTTCACTACAGGTTAACCGCTAAATAATAAGAATCCCACGGAGTAGTCATCACACCTAGGACCCGGGTTGACATTTAGAACTAAACCCGTTATACTACGCATTAGCAGGTGGTTATACTTGGCCACTTTCTAGTGTGATGGTACAAGCGAGTCAAGTTTTTGGCCCCGTTGCCGGGGAACGGCTAGGTTGTTGAAGAAACATGATTTCTTTAACTTTAGCATTTCTTTTCCGCATTGATTGTTTTGCGTTGTCCCACTTGTGCCTTCATGGGTTTGCTTGCCATGATTGCGTGCAGGTAGTATATGACCCGTAGGCATTCGGGGGATTTACTATCGTTAGACTTGGAGCTAGAACGCACTTTTCCCCAGCTTAGGAGACAACATCAAGCAAGACTGGCTACGGAGGAAGTGCACATCCACGGCCATCTCAGCAACGACTCTAAAGAGGAATACGAGATGGGTGACGAGCACAACAGCGGGAACCTAAACCTGGGGCAGAACCAACCCCTGGAGATGCCCATGCAGGTCCCCCCAGTGAATCAGGTGCTGGCAAATAACCCAGTTCCCCAGCCAGATGGGGCTCAGCATCCACCACCCCCCGCCGGGTCCTACTATGGAGTACTACTACACCACGGGTCGCCAAGATCTGCCCCATCATCCTGTATCTGCCCCATCATCCTATATCATGGGATGATCTTACCGACAAGTTTGTTAAGGTACTACCCGGCCTCGAAGAACATGGAGATTCAGCCAGAGATCACTCATTTACGCAGGAGCCAGATGAGTCATTACGTGATGCCTGGGAGCTGTACTCGGGATTTTTCTGGCAATGTCCCCATCACGGTTTTAGTGATGCATTCATAGTGGGGAACTTCTACAATGCTCTAACTCTAGAGAGTCAGAGGGTGATCGAGTCTCTATGCCCAGGATGGGACATTCTCACCAAGACTCCACCTGATCTGAATCAGATGATCGAACCCGATGGCTGGCCATTCAGTTGCACAGTGCCAGTAGTGTTAGAGCTCGAACCACTTGGTTGAAGATTGGCAGGCTATGCGGGAGTCTACTACACCCCAGGAGCAGTTGGACTTTATCGCCAATGCTCGGCGCCTTGATCCTTACAGTGGAACATATAATGAGGGGTGGCGCCAACATCCCAACTTCTCTTGGAACAACAACACCAGCAACACCACCAAGCCTCCCGGCTTCCCAGATAGAGCAGGTGGTTTTCGGCAAAGGCAGCCCTTTTAGCCGAGGCAGGGCCCATTTCAGCAGTAGCATAGATAGTTTGCCCAGCCGGTAGCAGCTCCAACATAGGATGATCAGATGTCAGACTTGAAGAACATGGTGCAGACCTTCGTGAGTGCCAGCACGACGCTAGACCAGTGCATCACCTCGTTGGAGGTAGGCCAGAGGAACCAGGGTGCCATACTTCTGGACCTCCAAAACCAGATTGGAGGCATAGCTCGCCAGAAAACCACCAGAGCACCAGAAACTCTGCCTGCCACCACTATTCCAAATCCTCGCGAGCCTCACCAGCAGCTCGATGCCATCACTTCTCGAAGTGGCAAGACAACATATGCTATCCCTGCTCCGGCCAGGCAGGAGGAGCCATCACCTACTTCAGCACTTCCAGCTGACAAAGAAGAGGTGGGGATTGAGAAAGAAGCACATGCTCCCAAGCCACAATTAGTGGTTAAGGAGCATGTTCCCCAGCTTCCCTTCCCCACTCGACTGCACAAGGATAAGCTGGAGACTGAGTTTATCAAATTCATGGCAATGTTGAAGCAGGTCAACATCAGCCTGCCTTTCATGGAGGCACTGTCGAAGATGCCCTAGTAAGCCAAGTTCAAGAAGGTGCAAATCAAATAACTAATGGTTTGATGAATGACTACTTGAATGAATATGTTTAAGTAAATTTACTTGACAATTGAATAAAATGTTATAAGATTTTTCGCAAATGAGACCCCACTAAACTTGAGCTCTGGCTACGCCACTGAGTGCAGCTAAAAGTTAGCTACACATTTCTGTAAATGCGTATCTAATAGCTAATACTTTTAGCACATAAAGTAGTTTTTGCTACATAAATAAATAACAAATTCATTAAAATGTTTAGCTTCACAACATGTGATATATGGCTTTATTTACTATTTTTCCATGCATTGCGTTGCTTTGAAGCAAAATAATTTTAGTTTTTGTCATAAAATAGTAGATAACTATAGATCGTAGAAAAGTATTTCTGGCTAGTTCAATTATAAATTTGACACAATATATTTTGTAGCTAAACATGTTTTGAGTTTTTTCTACCAAAAGCAGTGTGGCTATAAGTTTCACATACAGCTTCTAATAAACTCTTTAAGGCTAGAATTACATATTTTTTTGTTACGAAATCAAAAGGTGAGATTTGTTGAAGAATTCTTCGACTATGGTTATTCAAACAAATCCGTGGTGTAAAGAATGATGGACAATGATATTGTGGAAAGAGGGTAACGATTGGGAATTTAGTGGCGGTTTTGCCGTTAAATCGCTAATCGCTTCGAAACCTCACGATTATTTGTTAACCGTAAACCAAAAAAACAAGTTATTTTGATGTCACAGTTAGCAATAGTCCATGTTTTGCGGTTTGCGGGTTAACCACAACTGAACGATAGGTAACCATAGTTTAATCGGTTACTGATGCGGTTGCATGTGGTTAACCATAGTTAGCGCGGTTAACCGTGACATAGTGGCACAACCACATACCAAAATGTCCCCAAGGCATCAGAACGGTTAATAATGATGTTAATCGTGGTTAACTGTTAATTGCATTTTGTGGCTAGTTGTTAACCGCTTATCGTTTGCGGTGCGATCGTGGTTGGCATATATGACCCCGTTTCAGTTGCGGTTAACCGCAAATTTCGGTGCGATTAACTGCAACCACAACGATTTCCAACCAAAAAAAAATAGAGACAAAGATAAGCTGATAAATAAGTGTGAAAATTCAAAATAACGTCCAATCTAATTAAAAATACAATAACAATCGACTTCCTTATCTATGTATTAGATTACCATTTTGGTTATAAATCTGGCATAGGAATGTAATCACCATGAGTTAGGAATTTGACTAGCGTTAGGTTAGTTAGGTATTGCACATGCTCTGTCTCTTTGATTTTAATGACACAAAAGCTTTCATACCCAACCAAAATCCTTCACAGTTCTGAGTTCTCCCCTTCGCTCCGCGTATCCTTGTGTTGCAGTCAATAATGCATTGCTATTTCCATGTCACATAGTTCCAGTTTCCGCGTCTTGCTTGCTCACCCAAAATTGTTCCTCAATTGAGCTTAGACAGCATACAATAAATGGGATGGTAGCTCTTCCTAATCCTGCAGCAGTAGTACTCGCACAGGCTAAAGCAGCACTTGCTGAAACTTCTTTAATCATTCCAGTGAGACTTGAAATCAGAGAGAGCAGGAAACAAAAAAATGGATTCTTTCCCAACCTTTGTCACTGCCATTCTCCTTCTTCTTCTTGTTCCACAGAAACCTTTGTCTTGCCGAGCAAGTAACGATGATGATCGTGACGGTGCCGAAAGCCCAGTCCTCGGAGGCTGCGTAATAGCAGCCATCTATAACTTCGGGGACTCGTTCTCCGACACTGGAAATGCCCTGGCGGAGTACCCCGACGGTCCTATGGGGAACTTCCCCAATGGCATGACAATCCACAATGCGACCGGCAGATTTTGTGATGGACACTTAATAATCGACCACATAGGTAAGCCTTGATTTAATCCTTAATTAGTACTTTTGCTGTTGTCTGTTATTATATTATACACATCCTCAACCTCTTTTTTGTTGACAGCCGAGGCAGCTGGACTCCCGTACCTGAATCCATATCTAAGGAAAGATCTGGATCAGTCGAAAGGGACAAACTTCGCGGTGGGAGGAGTTGGCCTTCTGTCGAACAAAACCAGAACCAAACTGAACGTCCAACTGCCGTTTTCTCAGGATAGTGTGGACATCCAGCTGACCTGGCTCGAGGAACACCTCAACAGAACATTCGGAGACCACGAGACGGGTACAAATCAAATACTAGTCCTGTACAGTTTTTTTTTTCTTTCTGTATAATAACTAACTTAGGGTTTTCACCATTTTTCTTTGTGGCTGAATTTGACACTGTACAGCTCGCCGCAATCATTTGAAGTCGTCGCTGTTCGTATTCACTGGTGGATCGGGGAACGATTACACGAACATACGAGGCAACTTCAGCTCTCCACCACTCGAGAAAATGAAGGCAATCATTCCTGATGTCGTTGCAGCGGTCAAGGACTACTTGAAGGTGAACCTAATTACAACCACCTGAAAAACCAAATCCAATATTAGCATGAACATATCTATTTTAGCTAGTAAACCGTTCATTCCTGGTAATTTTTGTTGAATTTGCAGAAGCTGATAATCGAGTACGGCGTCAGCAAGGTAGTAGTGACAGGTTTGTACAAAGCTGGGTGCACCGTGGATGTGGGAATCTTCCATGACTATAAGCCCCGCTGCAATACCTCCACCAATGCGGTTGCCGCTCTTCACAATAGAATCCTGAAGTAAGAGCTCGCAGAGCTGAGAAAGGAGTTCCCCGACGTACTCCTAGTCTACGGGGACATGTGGGGGCCGACGGGATGGCTTCTCCACCATTACAGAACACTAGGTAAAACTATACAATGAAAGAAAAGAAAACAGAGGAAAGACGGGAGCAGAAAAAACAGAGCAAACACGCAAAATAAATAGAGGGAAAAAACAGAGCCTAATATGCAAATAAGACGACGACGCATCATAATGTTTTGTCTGTCTGTGTGGACGCAGGGTTCAAGCAACCGAGTGACAGATTTTGTTGTGGGAATGGCTCAAAGGCATGTGGCTCCCCTGGGTCACCGTACTGTCAGAACCCGCAAGAGTATATGTTTTGGGACGACCGTCATTTGACTGACCATTCGTATCGGGTGATCGCCAACTTGATGATCCCACGGTTGGCTGCTGACCTGGGATGCGGTAATGTTAGAAACAGCGGCGGATCCAGAATAAAGAAGTGTACTCGGCCGCATTTTATTAGTAAATTAGAATAGTAAAACGATATAATGATTATAGGTTTTTTACAATGTAAATTGTACACGACGGTATTTTAATTTAGCGAATGCATTAATAATGAAGTCCACATCCATACCAATAGTATACACTGTTTCAAATAAAATACTTGAGCAATCGACTAGAAATCCATCGCTCATTTTGTTGCGCAAATCAATTTTCACATGTTTCATTGTTGAAAAGGTTCTATTCGTATTAGCTGTTGAAACGAGCAACATCAACACTAGACAAATCAATCTACTAATCTATTTGCATTGTGTTTCCATCCCTATATCCACCAGCTGCTCTAGTAAATTTTCCAAGGTAACAAACCTCATATATGTTTTAGTCTTTTACGTTTTAAACTTTTTAAATTTTTAGGTTTCATTGCTTTTTTAGACGAATAACCTTTGGGGTTAGAATTTATAAGCTAAATTTAGAGTAGTGATTTTGAATATGTTCATCTGAATTATTTATCTAATTATACCCAATCCTATTTAAAATAACAACGACCTGAATATCTAAAATCGAAAAATTCATAAGGCCTATACTAACTATGGATCCATAGGAGGGCTGGGCCGGGGCCCGGGGTGACCACCCCCTGGATCCGCCACTAGTTAGAAATCGAACATGAAAAATTAGACTTATCGAATCTGGCTGAGTCGCAGACTAGGTCGTTGTATTTAAAACGTTCGTGGTACTGCCTCGTAATGCGCACAACAGACTATCAGCCGGTCGCTTCCAAGATAAAACAGCCATTCTAATTTTATTGCTCATCGGTTTTGTGCGAAAATCGGAGCTCTATGAATTCACTCTCTCTCGTGTTTCTGCTCTTCTGGGGTGTGTTTAGAGGGTCTGGGGCGTCTCCTATTTATAGGAGCAGAAAACCCAGAATATTCCCTCTTTCTTTGGGAATAAGTCACATTTTAATTAGGGAGATAATTACTTCCATAATTAAAATATAACTTATTAAGATAATTAATCCTAATTATCTCCATAATATTCCTTTTATTAATTATCCATCTTAATTTCGTATTATGGAAAAATACTGGATAATTAATTAGGAATTTCATTTATAGCTTTTCAAAGCTATTCATCCCAACAATCCCCCACTTGAATAGTTTTGAAACTATCTCTGAACATCAGTAGTTCCATAAGATCGGGCATAAGCTAAGGTATCGCGAAGATTTGAACCTTAGCGTAGTGGTTACACTTCCGATTTCATAAGGGTGACTCGTAGTCTTGAACCCTATCTCAGACAGTGTAGCATACCAGATCTTTTCATTGAGTGATATTCTCTCATAGGCCGTGCGTTTATGGCCATGCACGTTATCCCGGTTTAGTGAACGCTCTAGCAACTTTGTGCCTCCAAAGTTCCATAGGGAGCGGCCCCACTCCCACATTCACATAGGTGAGTCTATCAGGAGTATCCCCAAAGTAAAGTACTCCACCCACATAGGGTATAGATCTCATTAAAAGTTGTTAACTCAACCTCCATTGCTTTGGGATTCATGCTTCACTATGCATGAACTTTTCGCATACTACTCATGACTTGTTATTACCCATTGAACCCATTTCTTGGGATCTCCAGTCTATTGGGTCGGGTTACCATCACTTGTAGTCCGTGGTTCGGTAGGCATAAGTCCCATACCCTTGGCGGTATTTTGGACTTCCTCTCTAGATAATCCTTTCGTCAAAGGATCAACTAGATTCTGTTAGGACCTTACAGGATCCACCCTCATTGCTCCTATCGTTAGGAGTTCTCTTACAGTACTGTGCTTACGACGAATTTGTCGTCTCTTTTCGTTCTAGAACCGGTTCCCTTCTTTAGTAATAGCTGCGGTGCTATCACAATGAATCAACTACTGGAGGGATCAGTCTTTCCCATAAGGGAATCTCTAGTAATGACCATCTCAATCAACTTTTCTCTTTACTAGCCATTGCTAGCTCTATCATTTCTGATTTCTTAGTTGATTGAGCTAGGATCGTTTACTTCTTAGAATTCCAAGACACAACACTTCCAGTGATGTTTAAAACATGTCCACTGGATGCTTGGAATCTTCTATAGGGTATTCTCGTCCGCATCAATATACCCTACCAATACAGCCAGAAATCGTTGATAACTTATATCAAGGTCTACTGTTCTTAAGGTGTCTTATGCCCCTTTAAATAGCATTTCAATGCTTCATACTAGGACAAGTACCCCCCACCAAATCGGGTCTCATGTTTATCAGCTGCCTCTCGCAGACTGTAAATGCTAGTATATTCTAACTTTCTTACACCGTCTTAGGTGTTCTTTAAATATTTATACTAGCATCATCTAACATGTATGCAGGTGTACATCTTGTATTTTCCTAGTATTAGGATCTCTAAGCATAACATTTGTTTCATTCAGATCCTTCACATTCAAAATTCTCAACTATCAAGGTTTTTCAATATTGACATCATGAGTCTTTGTACCAAATATTGACGTGTCATTCATAATGCAAGTGTCATTCTCAAATTTGTACTAAATGCACTTTTCACTTTCACTCTTAAAACCATGAGAGAGAATATGATTAATCATGCCACGAATTCTGAGTCTATTTCAAATCATATAATGATTTGTCTAACCATAGACTCCAGAAGCATATTCTAGAATAACAACTTCTTAGGTTGTCTCATGTAGATTTCTTTATCTAAGCCACCATTCACAAAAGAAGTTTAACATCCATATGATGGTTGTTATTCTACATATTGGTGAATAGATATCAAAGAAATCTACAATTTTCCTCTTCACCTAGAGCCTTAGCTACCAGGCGATCATTATACTCATAAACTAAACCATTAGGTTTCAGTTTTCTTTTGAGAATCCATTTATTACCTTTGCTTCATTGCCAGGAGGTAATTCTCAAAGATGCCAAAACTTGTTCGATTTCATCGATATATTACCTAAGGCTTTACAACCAAAAGGTAACTCTACAAGTTTCTAAGTCTTATTAGACTCTCATGATTCCATTTTATTAATAATGACTTCCTCCCACAAATCTGCACCTTACAAAAGTTTGAACTTCTAGCAGAATTGTAGGATATTTCTTAGGGTGTAAATAACAAAATCATAACCAAAATATTTTATCGATTTATGGTTCGTTTGCTTCTTCTGAGTTCATACTCTGATTCATCACCCCCACTAGTTATCCATTATTTCTAATAGTGGGCACGATATCACCCCCACTATTTCTTGATTTAAAATGAAAGTTTATTGGCATCAATGGATTTCACCAACAACATGAGTATTTCATTTCATAGGCTTATGTGTTTTACTATAGCATATTCAATAAACATATACTCATATGCTCTTTTAGCTATCATGTTACACTAATTCTATAACGGTAACACATGCATGCCACATATCGAATAATCAGTGCAATCATAATGCCATTAGGCATTTCAAACCATTTCAATATAACTAGTCAGACAATCAGAGCACTCTAAAGAGCAATAAATTATTTATTGTCTTTTCCATCAAGTTTACCCAACTCAACATAAATCAGATCTATTGATTCTGATTCGCTAACCACATATTTATGGGTCATTTAGCTTTGATATACAAAATTCATATTTTTCTCAAGCATCCAATAATAATATGGGAATGCGATATAAGATATTCTAATTCTTCACACATACACACTTGGAAGAATTTATCTTATCTACTTAACCATTCCTTACGTCTAGGAAAGTCAATGACTTTCTAGAGGTAGGGTTCTCTTCCACTTTCCCAGAACCAACAACAATAGTGGTGTGAGGGTCTTGCCCAACAACACTTTCTCCTTCAATATGCCTCAATGCATGATTGAGCTTAGCTACTTTATCAAAAGTATGCCTTGAGGCGTCAATACCCAACCACCATTTTTTTAGAATTGCCATTAAGGCCTATCACCCCATTAGTGATTATTACCCCCAAATCCTCTTATTTAGTCAAGTTAACACTAGGTTAAACTTGTTCTTACACTTTCGTGTCTTATGACCTAGTTTCTCACAAATTTAATAGAGAAACATAGCGTCATTCTTAGAGGATTGGGTGGCAATCTTATAGTTACAACAAAGGGTACCATTCTATTTGGTATGGATCTGGTTCGACTTGCTGCTCTCATTCTTGAAACTTTAATGTTTCAGAGCAGCCTAAGTGGTTCGTGTAGTACTAATAATAGTACTTCTTACAATATCGTTATTATGGGCCATATACCCATTCTATTCCCATATATTCTTCCGTGCACACATTTAGACAAAATCATTCTTTCCATAGCATATATTCTAATCATCGAGATACGTAATATATCTCAATGTCAACTTATCATGCATCAATTCAAGCTTCCTTTCTAAATTTCATGCAAAAAACCCAATGAAATTTGTCATTCATTAATGACTCATGAGGAAGGTTTCAATTCTTACCTCATTTCAAGAAACCATTGCCTTCTGATTTTGCAACCGATAGCTAACAACATAATTAGCTTCTTTGTTCCTCTTTATTTCTCTTGTCGCGCAGGAACAACTCATTTTCATGCTTCAGGGGCATCACCTCTCCCAGAACCATATGTGATATGTGTATGAGAGGCCTCCATTGTTTCCAAAAATTCGGGCTCTAGCCCATCGTTAATTACACCAGAGCAGGCCTTAAATTCATAAGTACTACGTTCGAGTAAGAAATCCACAATATTTGCCACAAGAGCGGAATTCATTAACTAATTGATGTAGTAATCCAATATATTTATCTCGATGGACACTGTTTTTCTCCTGGGCTTTGAGAAGTGAGAGCAACCCACTCGAATTCTTCTTTTCAACTTCGTTGTTATCCTTTTGTTCCGTGCAATAACTTAATTGCTTCCTTTCCCTTTTAAGACTTCGTCAGCTCCATGATCTAAGCTAATCAACTGCTAACATTTAAGCAGCCGGATAAACAACAAAAAACCCACAGGAAAAAGGAATTAAATAATTACGAGACAAAAGTATCCACAATATTAGTCGAGAACATCTTTGATCGTCTTTTTCCTTCCACTTCCTTTTATTACTTGCACCGTCGCAAATAAAGAATTTACCCTAATATAGTAATATCCAAGGGTTCTCAGCATACGAATTCTAGCCAAATTTCTTCCAGGCGGCT